TTTTTTCCTTCATTTTTTCCTTTTTTTATTCTTTTTTATTCTTTTTTTTTCATCCTCATCGCCTGTGAGAATAGTGAGCACGGAAAAATTGGTAATCGGGCAGCATGACTTCCAAACTGTTGAGCCATTTGTCAGCAGCTTGCAGAAGGGAATTCTCCTGATCACACTCGTGGGGTCCACTGGGGCTAACGATCGACCCTTTCAGCTTGTAGGAGGTGAGAGCAAATACTGGCAGCGAGATCTTCGGATTCGAATCAGCAAAGCCACGAACGTTTCTAGTGTTCGGAGCATGGAACCGAGCTGGATTGTAGCCTGTATTCAGATGATGTGTAAGATTGAAAGAAGATAATAATGTATAGAGAGAGAGAGAGAGAGAGAGAGAGAGAGAGAGAGAGAGAGAGAGAGAGAGAGAGACTTCTAGGTTGAGTCGACAATGTATGGAATGTCAAGAAAGACGCATCAAGATCTTGCAGTGTTGGGCCAATGGGAATCCTATAAATTGGATACCTGCAATAAATAATGTTCAGTTATTGATAACATGAAGAACATATATAATTAGCCGTGAACCTAAAGAACAAACACATCAACTATACCATGAAAAAAAATGGGAAAAACATACCAAGCTACACATATCCAACTAGATGGCAGTAGATCACAGCTTTTGCACTTGCTCAGCTCGGGATATTGCAAAACAAGCGATGATATCTGCAGAGGCGGGAGGACAATATCGTCAAATCACAATCGTTCCAAAACAAAGAAATGAATAGATTTGATATTTTAAATCTCTGCTCGGATTCTACCTTATCAGCCAGTGGTCTGCGGTTATATGGCGGCTCATATTCCAAGAACTGAAACGAGGGTGGCCCACGAGCATGAGCAACTTCAGGACCAGCCGAAGTTATTACAGATGTATTTCCAAGTGAGAGCATATTCAATCCCTGCATGGAATTAGCTCGAGTATCTCTTTTCAAGTCACAGCTGCCAGCAGTAATTTCCTTGTTGGGTCCTCTGGACATGCAATTAAGAAACTATTAGTTCGAAGAATTCGGATAGGGGAGAGGAAAAAACAAAACTTCTCTTTTATATTCACAAAACATAATTTATAGAAAAAAAAAGAGAAGGGCACATAATTCAAATATGTAGATATTCTTGTGAAAAAGAAATTCTTACCCCAGCCTCACATTACTTAACATAGAGACAGAATAGTTTGAGGAATAAGCTCAGCAACAAGTGACCATATTTAATGCTATATCATACTTATAGGAACCTTCTAAACATTTCCACGTGCCCAAAGTCTTTATCACCATACTTTAAATTCCTCAGTATATTTTGCGCAGGGGTACCATAATCATCGATATATTTAAGAAAATAAGATCCTTCCATTCCTTCACTCCTAGCTCATAAATATTTAAAATTTGTATCAGCAAGGTTTTAAGCAAAGTCATTAGAAACCATAGAGAAGTTTATTTCAACATGACAACTTGCAGCTGCGGAACATAAATTTAAACACATCATATGTCATTAAAAAATGAAACATATTGTAATGTAAAATTGACCTATAAGAAAAATACACCTGTATTTTAACTAGTTACCCATCCCTTTTGAGATATTCTCTACCAACCCACTGGAAGAAGGCAGCCGGGGACATGTTTTATGTAAGAGAAGAGTGAAATATATTGTTACTGAGAATATGGATTCCTCATAGCAGATTGGTAAGGGTAAATTTGTTTGGTAGAGTTCAAGGGTAGACTCCCAACCCCATGATCATCAGTAAACAAGTCAAACGAATATGCAGATAAATATCTTTCCTCCTTAGAGATCAAACTTTCTGCGAGTAGATTGTGCTGTGAAATATAGTTCCAATAGCGTCAATATCAAGAACCACCAATGCCCACTAAATTTACTCGTAAATAAACGTAATTGTTAAATTGCCTATGCGAACCGCATCGGCATAATATTACTTGATAAAGCCAGCGTAAATGACCGAATTGGGATAAAGAATCTATAAAAATGATCATTTAATAAAATAACCATGTGTTTAAAATGATTGCTTGTTTCAGTTAAAACTCACCCAAGTCGAGAAGAAGGGTTTGATGGGTCAACATACAATTGTATGCCCGATAAGAAAGGAACATAATACTGCTCAATTCTGTCTTTTCCGTTCAACAATAATGGTACTCCAGCTCCATAGTAACTCCACTCGCTAAAAAAATCCCACAGATCTTCCAAGTAATAGAAAGGAAGTGAATCCACTTCACGCGCTCTTCGCCCCCTTGCATTCACCTGACAACAAAATAAAGTAGCAAAATTATTTCTTGTTCCTTTTGTGAAATGGGGCCCACAGCAACCTTTTAGAACGTCTTTTGCAACGACGATTAATGAGCTTGTTCAAACTAACGGCTTAACGAATCTTTCAACTAGAACCGCGGACTAAGAGTTTTTGGAACTTCCCATAAAGACTTCCAAATAGCTGTAGATTAATAAGATCTCAGAGAAAAATCCGCCACAAACTTTCAAATATTGTAGAACAAACTTACCAAAAACAACCACAAATCAGCATAAATAACCGATTCTTCCAAAAAACTTTAAACCAACAACCTTCCCAAGCAATCTTTTAGACAACAAGCAAAATTAACAACTTCAAAAACAATCTTTCAAATGACTCCTGACGTCAACGACTTCTGAAAGAATCATTTAGATGACTGCGAGAACTTAACGACTTTTGAAAACAATCTTTTCATACAACCTCATAAATTTAACAACTTTCCAAAAAAAAATCAACAAAATCTTGCAAACTAATGTACTTCAGAATCAACAACAAATTTTCATCTAACATTTCTGGTACTTCAAGAAGTATAAATCAAGACCTTCCAAGATCTAGTTCGTTGTCTAACATTCTTGCAGATATCATATAATTCTTTAATAAGATCTCAAGCATTTCATATATTTTTGCATTCAAAAAGATCCAAAATCCACACACATCTGCCATTCAGTCAACAAAAAGAGAACTTAAAGCACCTATTTTATTATACATAGCTTTCCAACTATAATGAGAAAAACACTACCAAAAAGAATCCTTCCGATTAGCCATGTTTCTAATGTAATCAAATGCATAAACTTAAATTTTTTTATCAATCCAAAAGGAACGACGATTTAAAATTTTATCTCCTGCATGCATTATCATTCTCCCGCAAACAAATCAGAGATTTAGGGTTTTAACTTTTTATCATCAATAGAACAAAATTGAGAGGAAAACAGACACAGGAACAACTTAAAAATCTCGGTATACCTCCAACGAGCACCGCGCCTCGACGAACGGAGTAACAGATTCCATCAAACGATCCAAATTCGTAACATCCAAAGTCGGACCACGGCCAATGGAAGGCGGTACGGACAATGCCGCCGCCGTCGACGAAGCATCAGCGTCGCTCCGCGCTTCCACCCCTGCCTCCGCCTCAGATGAAGTCTCCCTCGCCGGCGCCAGCGCAACCCTCCTCTGCAGCAGGTGCTGCTGTTGCTGCTGGAGCAGCTGCCTCTGCAACATTTGCTGCTGCTGCTGCTGCTGCTGCAAAATCAACTGGGGGTGGTGGCGGCGGACAGCCGGCGGGTTGTAAAACCTATCACCGCTCTGCCTGGGCGGCGGCGGCTGAGGCTGAGGCGCCGCCGCATACCCTCCTCTACTCGACATCTAAGAACCTCCTGGATTTTTCAACCTCGATTGACTCGGAAAACAATCGAAATGTGCGCGTCTATTTATAGATAGAAATTGTGCCAACTGCGTATTGACTTTTGGCGGATTGAGAGATTGAAGCAATCGAAAGGATGTAATCCAAAAATGAGATTGAATTTGTGGTGAATTTTTGTGGATTCAAAAGAAAAAAAAAATAAAAAATAAAATAAAGAGAGAGAGAGAGAGAGGTTTTTCAAAGGGGTTTTTCAAAGTTCAGTCTGTGTGTGTGTGTGTGTGTGTTCTTTGGTGTGTGCTGAGGTTGAAGGCTATGACCTTCACTGTGTGTGTATGAGTGTGCTTTTACTTTTTTTAGTTGCTCTGTTTTGGATTCTTCTAGTGGAGGGGTATTTTGGGTATAACAGGAAAATATAGGTTGGTGGCAGGTAAAATGTAAATGAGTCGAGTCGAGTCGAGTCGAGTCGAGTCGAGTCGAGTTTAAGCTTATGGTACTAAGAAGTCGAGCCGAGTTATAAAAAAATTAGTAGTTGATATGTACGAATATAAATTTCAAAATATTACAACTTATACGTACGTATAATAATAAATAAAATTATACAATAAATAATGAAAATAATTTACTAATTTTATATTAATAAATGGACAACATAAATATATTTTTTTTAACTGCACATTAAAATATTATAATTTTGTGATTTTAAAAGGATTACTACCAGCTAATATTATTAGTATTATTAATATAGAAATTATTCAAGGAGTTTGACTATGCCATTAAAATTAATTAGCTGATTTCTAATAAAAAATCATTAATGAGATTGAAAAAAATAATATTAACTTTTGGTAAATAAAAATATGCCATAATTTTTTTAAATCATTACGTAACTTTCATATACCATTTAGTGTTAATAATAATTCTTATACGTCATAATAACTAACAAAATATGATTATATTAAAATATTTGATTGATATAAAATGTAAAAACTTTATCATAATTAGCTAAAAAATATACAGGAATTTTTTTATTTATATTAATTTTATAGCTTTTAAAATTATAATATATCATACAAAAATTATTTTTTCAAATTTTATCAAACGTCGAGTCGAGCCGAACTCAAACCTCTACGCATAAATCTTTCTCACGAGGAGAAAAGAAGACGAGTACCTTTCTTTCAACTTTTAACTTCAAGTGCCAAACTTGGCTGTTTTTGTCCACGTGTAAACTGAACACTCAACTGCAGCGAGGTGACTTGACGAAATTACCCCCTTCGGTAGTCTCGATTGTGCCGCACGCGCCCTTTCGCTTTGGTCGACCCACGTATTTGCCGATTATGGGAAAATATAATTTTTTATTTAATTGCTACAATGTCTTGTACTAAATTTCCTTTATTACAGATATTTTCCATTGCGAAAATATATTTTATTTTTACGTAATTTGGCTCGCAATTAATTTTCTAAAAACACATATTATTGTGTGAGATTGTTCTAAGGTTAAGTGGATCGTGCAGTCACAATTTCATATAAAAATTCATATTTAAAATATGTATGGTAAATATAGTTGAAAGACAATTGATAGTTTATAAATTAATTTTTTGTTATAAATGATAGTTTTTAGTTAATGATTTGTTAATAAAAAAAATATTTGATAAAATTAGTTAATAAGTCGGCTGAAGTACAAATTTCAATTAGCTTATTTAAATAACTACATAAAGAATATTTTATTTTTCCCCACTTCAATAAAATATATAATTTTTTTTTTTTATTTTTTATCGTAAATTTAATTATTCTATCAACCACCCGTGTAGTACACGGGTATTGTACTAATGTTAAGTTTAAACAGCAACACCTCTACTATTTAGAAAATTACAAAAATGGGAAAAAATACACAAATATAAAAATTGTAGGTCCAAAATCAAATTATATAAAGGAGAAGTACATGATTTTCTTAAATAAAAATTGAGTAAGATGATAGTCTATTGCATATGATTGAGAAGATGTTGAGAAATAATGTACTAAATCTAATTGAGATGTTAAATTTAATTCTCTTTATTTTGACAATCTTTAAAAAACAAACTAGTATTCGACCTGTGCATTTGCACAAATGTAAATAAAGTATTGTGAGTTATTTGTATGCATATAATGATTAATTATTTTTCTTTCACCTTTTTGCTGGCCAAATTTACAATTAAAGGAGTTAGAATATCTATTTTTTTTTTAAATTGCATTTATATGATTGGATGTAATGTATATTTTGGTACGTCTTTTTTTTGTGAATTATTTATTATTTATTTAAGAATTTCAAATACGTTTTTTATTTTAAAAATAATAATAATTTAAATTTAACCACAATTATAACATCTAATCACATTATACGGTAAACACATTATATGGTCAACTGTCAATAATCAAAAGTTTAAAATGATTTTTGTAATTTTAAAGTGATTAGTGTTGATTATTTAAAAATTAAATAAAAGATTAAATACATCAAAAGTAACGGTTTTTAGAGGGAAACGGGTTAAATTACCACATCGGTAAAATTAAATAGATTTTATTAAATGCTATTAGCTAGTATATATATAAATTTCGGGGGATTATGTTATGTGGCGGTGCCGATTTTTCTCCGGAAGTTGCCTTTTGTCATTTAATGGGACGATTTTATTACAACATGAATGAATTGTACAGTGAGATGCAAAGGAGTTTGTGATTTGTATATACAATGGAAATATTTAAATTTAATTACTTGTTGTGTTGTATATAATATGGGAGACATTTAAATTTAATTAATTATTGTGGATTTTAAAAAATAGCTATTTTAAATTTAAGTGCGTATTTAATTGAGATTTTTAAAAAAATTTGAAGAACTTTTAAGACTTTGAAAATTATGGTATAATTTAATTTAGAGTTCTCAAGACTTACAAAAGTCTTGAGATATTCATTTGGTATTGATCCCGATATATTTAATTATTTGAGATTAACATTTGTTAAAACTTTCTAAGATTTGTTGGAATTTCTAAAGAAATAAACATATACTAAAACTCATTACAAATCTCACATCCAAACTTAAAATTTCATAAGATTCCTCTAATTTAAAAATTTCAAATCTCGATTAGCCTTTAAATGTCACTTGAAATTCCAAACGAATACACCTACTTGTCGTGGATTTTACAATAGCTACTTGCTAAAGAAGTATGAATATCTAGTTGCCACTTAAAATTGATAAATTTTATTAAATGTAGTTAGGACTATATTGTCGAAAATTTTTACTAAAATTAAAAACAACTTTAGTTACTAAAAAACAAAGTACCATAAATTAGTGAGAATAAATAGATAAAATATTGTGATGAATCAATTTTTGATAATAAAAAAAAAAATATATTTTCGAAATTCAAAGGTACTAAAGATAATAAGGAAAAAAGAGAAATGTAACGGCTACACAGTAAATGAGGTTTTGATCAATATTAATATAGCAACACATTAATACAAATCAAATATGTTTTTATAATAAAATAATAAAAAAATAAAATTGAAAAGTAACGATTTTTTTGCGGGAAAGTGCCACATAGGTATAATTTAATAGGTTTTATTAAATGTTTATGAGCCAGTAATTATATATATATAGATGATTTTGTGAACTGACTAACATTTATATTGTGATGGAAAAGAAGTTTAATGAATACCAATGTTGATAATGGGATTATGAATTAATGACAAGCTAATGATAATTGATGTGTTTAATTTGATAATAATTATGTAATATCAACTTTTGAAAATAAAAGCGAATGAAATAATGAGTATGTGGGACATGATAAAACAAAAGTTTGTTGAGAACTTGAGATAAGAATGCACATAAATGCAATAAGATTGTATATTTGTATATTCTTTTGTTTTTCCTCATCAAATTATTTTGACTATTGATATGACTTCACTAATGATTTGAAAGTTATATTTTTTAATAAATTTATATACGTGCATACTTTAGATTACATTATAAAAAAAAAAGTATGTTATTTTATTTGTTTGAGATTTATAAACGCTTTTTATGATTTTAGAATTTTTGGCGTATTTAATTTAATTACAAATTTTAAGATTTTAGAAGTCATGAGGTATTCATTTAAGATTTTTTTTTTTTAAGTCTTACAAAATTATGAGGTATTTAATTATATGAGACTGTTGTTAGGACTTTTTAAGATTCGTCGAGATTTTAAAGAAAAAAAAATATGAAATTTCACTTCAAATTTAACTAGTTTATGGGAGTGTATTTTGTTTGAGATTTCGACTTATATTTTGATTTTTTTTTTTTAATTTTTTAAGATTTAAAGATTTATGAGGATTCCTATGAAATATTAAGTTTGAAGGTAGAAATTGGAGAGGAATTTCGTGTGTGTGTGTATATATATATATATATATATATATATATTATTTTGAACCCCAACAAACCTTAAAAAGTTTTAACAAATCATATTCTTATATAAATTAAATGTAGCGGGATTTTGTATGATTTTTTAAAATCTTAAATAAATACAGTAAGACCTTTCAAAATCTTAAAAAATCATAAATTAAATACACCAGGAAAGATTTCTAAATTCTTAAAAAATGTTTACCAATTATAAATGAATGCACCCTCATTTAAGACTTCATATAGGATATTTGATAAATATGAAATTTTTAGAAAGTTTCAAATCTCATTTATAAAATCTCACTCTATATTTCAATTCCATACTTTAAATTAGAATTTTGATTAATATGAAAATTTTAAAGGTCTCGAAAATCAAAATGTCACTCAAAATCTCAAATAAAAAACTCTCTAAATATGCTAAAGTGTGATTGTTCAATAGTTATACTAATAAATATTCGTGTATGACCGAATGTGAATTTATAAAAAGAGACCTAAATGCAAAAAAAAAAAAAATGAATAAATATATAAGTATAGATAATAAAGTAAAAATTAATACATAAAACAAATATATATATTTTTATCTCTTAATTTAAATATAAATATCAATTCCATTTTAATTAGTCTCATTAGGACAGGTTGAAATTGTCTTTGTTCATTTATTTATTTGAGTATAAATGCCTTTTTTCCAATATTTTTCCTAGTGTGGATTATACATTATTTCTACTACCATATCACTCACATTTACTATACCTTTTAGAAATACATTAATACTAACAATTGACGAAAATACATTGGTTGTAGTCTTTGGTTATATAAAAGTTAGGCATGGGCAATTAATTTTCATCCAATCTATATAGCTCATCACCATATTTGATACTTATGATAAAACATGGCTTTGTGATGCTGCATTAATTTTTTTATTTTATTATTTTTTTTTATGGGAAGAACATTTTTTTTACTTATAATAATAATTAAGAATCATAAATTTAACATTAGCAAGTTAGCTCCATTAGAAATCGGTTACGTGTTTTGTACGGCCATGTTGAAAAAACCGTTAGCCATACAATAGGTCAAAAACCAGTATTTTACTGGTAAAAAAACTGGCAAATATAATCGGTTCAAGGTTTTTTTTTTTACTACAACAATAGTTTTAATAATTTTAAATATTTTTTAAATTGAAATGCTTATTTAAATATTATGGATATTGGTGAATTATTATATAAATTAGTTTTAAAACTTGAATGTTATTCAACCACTACTTCAAAAATTGAACCGTTGAACCTATAGTTTTATGTGAGTTTTGTGAGGTAATTGTTATTATCTTTTACTACAGTGTGGGCCTATGGTTAGTTAGATTTGTAATCCACGACTACTGTTTATTGGTCTCTAAATTTTGGATGGTGCACTTATTGACAGGGCCATGATGCCCGGGCTCGATAAAGCCCACTAGTTGCTAATATCCGGCCCAACTACCACACAATAAGGGAGGGTCCTGTGAATCAATGGCCAGGCGATGGGCTATTCCTAACCAAACCAAGATGTTAAAATCAAAATAACCGAGTCGCACCTTCGTGAAATAACCGAGTCACACCTTCGCGAAAGTTGAACTGATCGAACTTTTGTCCGAAAATTCGAATTAAAATTACACTGAAATAATCAGTTTATTCGATCAGTAACCGGAATAAATTATAATTTATAGTTTAATTGGTTTAGTTATTTCGGTTATTTTCAAAATAAAATTTCCAACCAACACATTATGTATTTGTAATTAGTGTATAAACATTAACTTTAGTAAAGCATAAATCAGTACAGCACAAAAAATATCACACATAAATGCAATTAGTATATATTGTCAATTCCAGCTACATGAGCTAAGAAAACTATAAATATAGTTCAGAAAATCAAATCAAAGAAAAAAAATATCTCAAATTTTATTTCAAATTTCAACTATATAAATAGTCCACCTATCATCACATTCATACCCTTTTTCTTCTTCTTCTTCACCACACTATAAACCAAATCACCCTCGAATATTCACCAGTTCAAGAATGTACAAAATGTGAATGAAAAATAACCAATTACAAGAAATGAATAATCTAAAAAAATGAAAAAAAAAAAAACAACCATCTTATAAACCGTTCTGCTCTACCAAAACTTTTCTTACACACGAATGACGAATGAACAAAAGCTGATTCTGTACACAGAATGTAATGTACGTACCTCTCAATTTTTTTTCACTGCTCGAAGAATATCATCATAAAATCGCGACCCGGCTAGTTTCACGAGACGGCACAAAGCACTCGGTCGACGAGCCTTCCAACTCGGGACACGGCTCGGGAAACACGTTGAAAGACGAGCCCACGACATTCGAGCACACCCAAGACTTAGACGGGTCGGGCGGCAAAACCGAAAAAAATGAGACGTTCGAAAGGCAAATCGACGTGAACGGCATTTCCTCTAATCCCAAGAATACCCCTCCAGCCGAAGACACATTCACTCCGACCACGTCCTTAAACGTAATTTCACTCACGACGGGAAGCTCGCTAGGGTCAAACTTGTCGTCCGGGTGGGACCCGCTTTCCCCGGTCGCCTTGATCCCTTGCCGCACGTTTTCCAAGAAAACGTGAAAGACGAAAATGCCCCTAATGTAGCCTCCGCGCCCTTTGGCCGTCTTGAGCTCGACTCCGCAATCGGAGTCGATCACGCGGAGGTTCTCGACGAGGATTTCCGTGACGCCGCCCGACATTTCGCTCCCGATGGAGACACCCGAGCCTGAGAACGACCGGAGGTTGAGTTTTCGGAGGTGGACTTTGGATGTCGGTTTTCCGTACGAAATACCGTATTCGTCCCAACCGCTTTTTAGAGAAACCGAGTCGTGGCCCGTGGATATGTTGCTATTCTCGATGCAAACACGCTCGGACGAATCTGGAGCCATAGAGAGGAGGTCAAAATTTGGATTATTGGAAAATGAGGGAATAATATATATTTAAAAAAAAAATAAAGGAAAAAATGCATTGGAATTTCACATGTACCTAATTTATTGGGATGCCGAAGGGCGTGCTTGATATAAATATATCCGTTCAAAACGAGTTTTTTGGTTAACTATGGTTAATTTTGAAAAAATTATTTTTATTTTGTTAGTGGAATTTTGAGTTTATATGTAAATAATATTTATAATAAAATAATTAAAGTTGATTTGATGTAAAAATATGAGATAAATGATGTGAGCTAATTAGTTAAAACTATGTGAGTAGATCAATAGTGAATTAAAGTTGATATGATGTGTAAGAACAACAACAACAACAACATACCCAGTATATTCCCAACTGGTTGGGGTCTGGGACTCAGTTGTACGCAGACCTTACCCTTGAAAGAATTACTAATTAATATTATTTAATTATATTGATAATATTGAGGATAGTGAAGTTGAGTTACAATTGAGTTAGATTTTGAATATGTATTAAAAGAAAATATAAACAAACACCATCTAAAAATGATATCTTTCCCAAAGGGGCAATACCATCATTCTTAAGCAGAAGAATCGGGTGGAAAAAGGGTGGGGGGCACTAATCTCTTTTTGAACGTCTAATTAGATCGGGAAAATTATTCAAATTAAGACTAAAATAAAATAAAATCACGTTCAAAAAATGGAAGATTTTTTCTTTGTTTCTTTGGTAATTAAGCTAAATGTAGGGTGTAGTTTAGTAATTACAGCTAGTTTTTGGCATTTGGGCTGATTTATTTTCATGAAAAAAAAACATACTTAAGTAAAGAAATGTGGATTGAAGTAATTAACTGCAAGCAAATAATCAATTGCACAGAGAAAATAGCATATAGTTCGTTTCATACTTAAGCTATCAATTAGAAACGCGCATTTATGATTTACGAATAGATTTACGAACCTGGAACTACGCCACTAGTGTATGGAGAGTCGGGCGGAGAATAAACCGTAATATTTTGAACTAACAATTTACTGCATCAAAAATTTCGGGAGAAGGTAAAAGTTAGAATAACCCTTGCATCCTTAAAAGGCACGACTCGAATCACAATAGGACAAAACAAACATTGAAAATGTTCGAAAAATGGTTTAAAGCGCATTACCTGCAATAAACGGGATGAATGTTCCAAGCAGGTGCATTTATGAAGGTTAAGTTCAATACAACAATATTGTTCGACCCAACGAGTTCTACTAAATGTGGTCGGCTGTAATTTAAAGTGTGATTACTTAGTTGTTCCCACCAAATCGAACCTTGTCCATCGATAGTTCCATTATTTCCTGCCGAGCAAGTGAACGAAAATTGAATTATTAAAAAAAAAAGTGCATGGCCAACCGAAAAAGCCAGAAATTAAATAGAAAAAAAAAATAGCTTTAGAGTATGTTACCTGTGATAACAACATCAGTCAAATCTTGTCCGCTGATCAAGCTACGATATCTTCGACCAGGTACTTCAAGGCCTCGGCCATATGAAGGTAATGGATCAACTAAATCCCAGTGATTATAATCCTGAAAAGTAAGCAGGAATATGTAACTCTTGATAGACATAAATAATCAGCCGTGCTGCCTGATATGGCTCGTAGTGGAAATTCTTTTAATCGGTGAAAAACAAAAGGAAAAGCTTACAAAGCAAAAAAAATGCCAAGGAGGGGAAGAAATTATAGTAAAATGCAGGTCGTAAACCCAGCTGATAGGCTAGCTTATTGCTTTTAAGTGAATTCTAGGTTATAGCTGATAACTTATGACTTATGACTTATTGCTGATAAAACTGTTTGTTTGGTAAAATTAACTAATAAGATAGCTGAAATAAAAATTTCAATGGACTTATTTTAAAAGCTATCCAAGGAACATTATGAGATAAGCTCCAAATCAAGCTTATTTGAATATAAGAAGCTTATAAGCTAGTTAAATAAGCTATAAGATAACTTGTATGCTTACCAAACACAACAGTTGTATGCATTCTCAAGAAAATAAACCTTGTAAGAACCGAGAAGCACAAATCCAAATGAAAACATTTTATTTTTTATCTATATGGTTTTCAATCACTAATATAAAGATTGAGCAAGTATAATATGTTTAATGGCAAAAAGCAATATAGCCTAATCACATAACTAAATGTATCTTTCTAAATTAAAATCATTCACTCAATCCACAATTATTCTTCTCCCAAGATATATAATTCTGCAAGACCTCAAAAGTCCCTCGGAACAAGAAGCATGTCGATAGATAATCGATACAGAACATATGCAACAATTTGTACGATTTAATTTCACAAAACCCACTAAATTTTACAAACCTGAGAACCAAGAATAGTCGCGTCTTTCTCCAGGAAAAGCGTGAGGTGGCTCGTGAGAGTAATGCAACCCGTGAGCCACCTGCCAGCTGGCACATAGAGCTGGGCCCCACCCTTATCGGCAAACGACTTAAGGTAAAAAATCGCATTTTGGAAAGCAACCGTGTTTAACGTTTTCCCGTCCCCAACGGCCCCGAATTCCGTGACCGAAACGCTGTGAGGCCTCGGGCTCAATGACCAGTTAGATTCGCAAACCCCTTCGTACTCAGCGTTAATGCTCAGTACAAGGAGCAAAAGCAAAACTACCTGTGAAAAAAAAAAAAAAATAAAATAATAATCTATGGAGAAGGATAAAAAAAAGCAGCACTTCGAGTTCTTATACAAGAAGTTAAGGCTATGTTTGGTAAACATAGCTGATCATAAGCGTTTAAGTAAATTTTAAGCTTATAGCTGAAAAGTAGCTTATACTACCTCCTATTTTTAATATATGTCGTTTTGAGAAGTTGCACGTTAATTAAGAATATTTTTTTTGTCAATAATAACCTTATTTAATGAAGATAGAGATAAATATTTTGAGAAAAAGTGAAGAGTGAATATGAAAATATGTAATGTATTTATTAGCTAAATGAGGGTAATAATAAAAAAAATATGTAGAAAATATCCAAAACGACATTTATTTGACAAATAGTTGATAAAGCTAAAATGACATTTAAAAAAAAATAGGAGGGAGTATATGATAAAAATGTGTGGTAAAATTAGCTGAAATAAAAATTAAAACGGACTTATTTAAAAGCTACCCAGGGAAGCTTATGAGATAAGCTCGAGCTTTTTAAATCAAAATTGTCTTAACAAACCAAACTTATTTGAATACAAGAAACTTATAAGATAATGAAATGAGCTTATATGTTTACCAAACACAACCTAAGAAGAAAAGGGAAAGAAAACCAATGTGAGATTTCAATAAAAAGACTGATATTCCTTGTGGACTTCATCAGAGCAAAGCCGGATTTCGGTTTATAACAGTACTCTGATAAAAGAACACCAAAAGATCAAATCTTTATCATAGCAATGTAGCCGATTTTCGGTTTATAACAATACTGCGGTAAAAGAACATGAAAAGATCAAAATCTTTGTCATGACAATAGTTCATTGCAAAACAGGAGATGGCTAACATATCAGTGAATTAACCAATGGATCTTGATTTTTTATTTTTATTTTACTCAGGAAAGAGAATAAGGCAATACATTCATACATACACACAAAATGAAATTAACTCAAAAAAATGCAGAAACTACTAGAAAAGATCACAAATTTAGATCTATACAGCTTATAATCGCTAGCCATTAAGACAACATAGGAATAATCACTAGCAGCCGAAAATGAAAACACTGAAGATCTATTCAAGTTCAATTATTTAACACTGCCACCAAAACAAATGAACAATTAGATTCAACAAAGTTTGGAGACAAAATTTCCTCTTTTTTTTCTGCAGGAATAAAGAAGCTTATAAAGGGATCCAAGAATGCTAAAAAGCGGAAAAAAAAAAAAATTAAGGGACTAACACTAACACACAGTCAAAAATCAGTGAACAAAACAAAGAATTAATTAACGTACTTACTGGCCTCTTCATGTGTTTATCCTCTTCAAAGCCCTCATTCATAGGTTGCAAGAATATCTGGCTGCGCCCTAAAACTGGGAAAAGAAAACGAGAAGAGGAAGAACCGAATAGAAGGAAGCGAGATATAATGATGATGATGAGTGGCAATTAAGGTGAAAAATGTAGCTGTAATAAGAATGACACTTAAATATTTAACAATACAAAAAAAATAATACAAGGATGGTAAGTGAAAGGGACAGCACAGAACTAACTAACACACCATATATATCGACTCGAAATTGAAAATTTGGCCCAAAAAAAAATATTAAATAAATAAATAAATCTCTTTAATACTCAAGAGCGCTTGGATGAGATGACTTGGGTCTTTTCCAACTTAACTAGTGGTCTCGTGTTCGAGTCCTGGTAATGCAGCAGTGTTAAAACTCTTGAGGGAGAGCTTTACCGCCCTTGTGGTCCTACCCGACTCGATTTCGAATTAGTCGGTTCCCGTGTGGATCCAGAAACCGGAAGGTTCTTGTACAAAAAAAATAGAAAAATAGTAATTAAGCTTAAGGAATTAGTATTCTTTAATTATTTTCTTAATTTTCTGTCCAACTATTGTTTTGCCGACACTATCATGAATTGTCATTTTTTCTCTATATTATCTTTTTTTTTTTTATGCAGCTTGATATGGTCGATATGAATAGTTCCGTTCTTTCAAGAGGTTCTCTCTGAGTTAAATGTGGATCTACCGGTTTAGCCTAGTCCAAGTCCGTGAGCTTGTCGGTACCTGCAAATGCACCGGAATTGTTTCGGTGTAAGACCCCTCTGACACTCAAGTGCTATATTTCAAAATAGAGGAATAATGATGTGCAATAAATGAAACAGTGATTGTATTAAATGAGTCTTACCCGTTTTCTCTTAGATTACCCTTTATATAGAATTCACTTGTAAGGCGATAGGCTCATAGTCTTCCGTTGACCAAACATACATAAGTCAATGCTTCGGCTTGTACAGGTTAGCCTAATCAATCCGCTTCGCTCCAGTCACATGTATCGGCTATCAAACAAATGGGTAGATACTCTGTCATGGTCGACCCACCTCGATGTGGCCGAGTATGTCGACCATTAGGTCGATGGGTCAAAGCCCTCACGTGGTTCGACCCTCTCCCCTTGGTCGATATTATAGCCCACTCGACCCGGCTTTATGGGTCTTTGCTTGACCGGACTGGGTCGGTATTATGATCCCTATCACAATTGATATACATATTTCTTTTTCTTATTTGTTTTACATGGTTGTATAAAAAAGACAAAAAAATAAAAATGTAATATTGTAAACATGTTTAATTTTTTAAAACTTTTTATTAAAATATATAAAAATCTTAAATGGTATTAATTATATGATTCTGTATTATATACTATAGGAAAACATATTAATGTAATGTCATAAAATGTTAAATTTTTTATTTTATTGAAATATTTATACATGTTAAATCTGAGATTGTGATTTGATTGTATGATTTTGCTATAAATAATCTATATATTTGGTTCTCAATAATTTAAGAATACAAGAAAATTGAATGGTAAATAAATATAATATTCAATACATACTCAATAGTAAATAAATAGAATATTCATTAACTTTTTGAAATGTTTTTATAAGGGTATCCATAATTTTTTAACACAAATATCATTCATTCAATCAAAAATTTCTATTTCATTCACATCGTCTTTACCCTCAATCTCTCTCCATTAAAACATTCACCACATTTTTACACACTCATTTAAATACATATATGGACCTATTATCCACTCATTCAATATAAATTTTTATATTATATTATCAATGAAAAATAAATTAATATTTTTAAATAACAATAATAAATTTTAAATGCATGAAAATGAAAGAAAATGAGCCGTTTTTCTTAGGTAAATGAGCCGTTGTTAAATTTTTGGTAGAGGGAAAGAGTTATTTCTGGTAGAGGGAAAGAGTTAGATGGGTGTATTTATAGGTAGGAATAACATATTGGAACCGTGATATAGATAAAATCTGAATTTATCAATATTGAGAAGTGTGATATAAGTAAAAAATAATCTAAATATGTAAAAGAATAATAATATAGTTAAACAATTCATTAAAAAAAATTCAATACTCTGGGCCCCACTCAAATAATCAACTGCTGCATTTCCTTGAACGCCAAATTAGAATTTAAACGGGCGTTTTAACGCCAATTGCGGGTGCCCTAATATCATATGAGTACCTCAAAATTTTTCTAAATGTTCAAAATAAATACACCAATGGTCCAATGTTTTTTAGATTTTCAAAAATGTTCAAAAATTCACCATGAGTACACCATACACACATTAAATTCGTTTTTTTTATTAATATTATTACTTGTCTATCATTTTATAATAATAATAATAATAATAACAATAATAATAATAAAATTATTATTATTATTATTATGGTGTGTATGTATATAGTATATAGGCATAGGAGAGGATGGCATGCGCTTTGTGTGAAGTGGAGCCCATTGGCTCAATGATGTATTGGAAATGCTAGCCTGGCATCACTGAATTTGCCAGATAGACACCAAATCGTGGGCCCATCTTTATTTTTTTATGGGAGAGTTCTTTAAGGGTATGTTTGGTAAGTCAAATAAACTAGCATATAGCTTATTTGGTTAGCTTATAAACTTCCTGTTTGAAATAATCCTCGTTTGGTAGAGCGAGCTTTTTTAAAAAGCTCGAGCTTATTTCATAAGCTACTTTAGGTAGCTTTTCAAATAAGCTAGTTGAATTTTTTATTTCAGCTAGCTTATCAGCTAATTTACCAAACATCTTTTATCATATAAGTTAGCTTTTCAGCTATAAGTCATAAGCTATAAGCTATAAGCTCAAAAATTACATATAAGCTATAAGCTAGCTTATCAGCTATCAGCTAGCTTATCAGCTAGTTTTACCAAACATAGCCTAAAAATCCCTACACCCTAAATGAACTTCCAAGTCACTCCCTCTATATAATTTTTTTCTATTCCACTACCTACCCCCTTAATCAAGTTCCACTTAAATCTCTCCCATTAAAATAAATCACAAAGAAATTGAAATGTGACATCATCCCACTATCCACTAATTTTGACATATTATTTTATTATTTTTGTTTAC